GATCTCCCTGAATCGATCCATCCACAGCTACCTGACGAATTTGCCAGTCAGTGCGGGAGATGATCGAGCAAGTTATAATATTTGAAGGTCGCGAGATGTCAGTGGCACTGGCAGGAAATCTACACAAGCGTGTTCTGAAATAATAATTTTCTAATACTCAGGCATGATTCAAGAACGGACTTTGATTTCTCCCTTCTTATGGTACGAGCACCAGTCGACATTGCATTCTTGGAAAATCTTCTGCGAGTGCTGCCTTCCCCTTTCATAGAAAGAACGAGTGAAGAGGGACACTAGCAGCAGGTTCTAGCTACTAAGCTAGGTCGCCAGAATTGCAGAAAAGTGAGAAGACGTTCAACAACGATTGATCGCCCAAAAATCATCGCTACCGAAAAATTTACTGAAAACCTACACTTTTCAAACGATGCGCGCGCAGAGGGTGTGAGCCACCTTAACCGAGATAGCTGCTGTGTGGTGCCATCGTTTGGCCGAAAGCCTGATTGGCCGTTGGGGAGGTGAGGTTGGATGTGCTTCGAGATGCGGTCAGCAACTATCCTCTCTTGTACTTTCGACGTCACGCTGAGTAGCGATATCGGTCGATAGTTGGAAGGCTCGGTTTTGCTGCCCTTCTTGTGGATGGGGGTGACTGTTGCGTCCCTCCACTCTTGCGGGATAGTGCAACGTTCGAAGGAGATGTTAAAAAGGGTTGCTAGGGACGGCGCAAGTGAACTGGCTGCCTCTTTCAGTAGGCGGGTTGGTATGCCATCACAGCCTGGGCTCTTTGACGGGTCCAGGTTAGACAGTAACTTTGAGACCTCTTGGGCTGTTGTTTCAAGTGTAGTGAGGCCAGGTGTATTGGGTGTGGGGAATGAATGGAGGGAAGTTCCTCGTGGCATCCTGTGACTGACTGTTGGCTCTGCGAGATGAAGAAAGCGTTCAGGGCGGTTGCTTTTTCAGCGGGGGTTGAGAGAGTCTGGCCCTGGGAGAGCATGTCTGGCAGAGTAGGTCGTTGTGAGGACTGGAGGCCGCGCATCAGTTTGTGTAGGTTTGGTGTGGAGTGGCTCGTCCCAGTGCCATTACTGACATATGTAGACTTAGCGATTCGGAGAAGGTGAGTAACTTTGTTGCGTTGGGTAGTGTATGCTGTCCAGTTGCAGGGCGTCCGGGTGCGCAAGTAGGCACGGTAGAGCCGGTGTTTTTCTCTGATGGCGTTAGTGAGCTCTGGGTTCAGCCATGGCTTTGCGGGGTGGCTAGTATGCCTCGGGGAGTGAGGTACTGCACAGTGTTTGGGGGCGCAAGTGAGGACTTTGTCCTTCCATGAGTGCCACAGGTTGTCTATGTTGGTAGTGTTCAGGGTGTCACCTTCCAGTAGCAGTTGTGTGCGTTCAATTTCGGCTTTCAGACTGCTGATGCTTGGGTTTGACCATTTCCAATGGGTGGTGTTATGGGTGGGAGGTGGTACGGCTCGTGGGGATGCAGCGACTGGCTTGATTAAACCCCTGATGGATAGGTGGTCCGAGTTGCCGATCTGCGGGAGACTAGAGATAAGGACATAGTCGTTGTCTACATCCGTGACGACGAGATCTAGGCAGGATTTAGGGTGCCCATTCTGCACAAGAGTGGGGAATGTGACATGTTGGTGTAGAGAGTAAGTTTGGAACAGCACTGCTAGATCCTCGCCAACAGCATCTGTCGTGTCAGAGTGGCACCAAGCGGCGTTCTTTGCATTAAAATCACCGAGGATAATCTGTTGCGTTGTTGTTGGTATGGCTCATATCAGTTCCTCAAGGTGCTGGCAGAATAGCCGATGGTCGCAACGGGGTGGTCGGTAGACGCATGTTGCGTTGATGGTGCTGTCGTTGGCTGACAGTTTCAGCGATAATAGGTCAAAGCTGTCTGGGGTTGTTGTAGGGACGAGTTCATGAGGTATAGTGTCGTTCACGTAGAGAATCACTCCTCCACCTTGGCGGTCTGGGCGGTCTTCACGATGTAGTGTGTATCCACTGAGGGCAAACAGGGAGTCTGGGCGGTGCTGGGTACACCATGTTTCAGAGACAGCAATGGCATCATAAGGTGGCGTTGTTGACGATGCTATTGCTGACAGTTCGTCCATTTTGGGGTAGAGACTGCGAGCGTTGAAGGAGAAGAAAGAGATGCTATTTTGTTCATTTCCGTTTTACATAATTTTTTTTCACTGGTGAGACCTGGTGTTGATGATGATTCCAGTTCAGGCGTGGTCCATGGTGACTCCTATAGGACTCTGGTCAGCTAGCTTATTTTGTTTTTTAGAGGCATGTGGCTGTTGTGCGCCTGGGGGCGTCTGCTCTAGCTGGTGGCGTCTGCGTCTGCGACGTCCGGTGTAGAGTTTCCATTCTTCCTCAGCTGCATTGAGCTTCTGCAGGAGTTGTTCGGCGCGATTTCCATCTTCCTCCTATAGGCTCTCGTCGTTGCTGTCGTCTTCCGCTGCCGTGCGAGGTGAGCCTGGCGAGTGGCAGTACATGCTTGCGCTGGGTGATAGTGCGCGGACTGCGCTCTCGTCGGCTCGATCGATATCTGTACTAGTTCTACGAGTACGAGTTTGGTGCTCATCAGAGGCACTGGCAGTGTGTCCGTGCTGGTCTGCACTTTTGCTGGGCTGGCTGTGTTCAGTGACTTCCTGTGCGGGTGAGCTGGCAGAGGTCACAGGGGACGCTACCTGTGCGTACAGTAAGCTGACCTGGCCTGTGGAGGCTGTCGGATCTGGTGCTGGATCGTCGTTTTGGGTCTGTGTGTTGCTTGTTTCGGTGATTTCCTGTACGAGTGTGCTGGCAGGGGCCGGGGTCGCTGCCTGTGCGTACGGTAAGCTGGCCTGGCCTGGCAGGGCTGTCGCCAGTGTTGGATCTGGTGCTGGGTCTTCGTTTTGGTTCTGCCGCGTGTTGGTTGAGGTGCGGGTCCGTGTGTTTTGTAGCTTGTTCGATTTAGGGCAGGAGCCGGCAAGGTGATTTTCTGAGTTGCAGAGGCGGCAAGTTGGCGCCTGGCCATCATGCTTCACGCGGAAGGTATTGCCTTCGGCTGTCCGCACGAATGATGGCACCTGACTGCAGCCGTTGTTCAGGCGAACAGTTGCGAAGCGTACGCCTGTTCTGACAAATGCGCCCGACTTTGTGCGGGTACGGCCGTGGCGAATGGTGCCTTGCACCGTACCGTATTTTGTGAGTGCATGTATGATGGCGGCATCGGAGATCCAAATCGGGACGTCAAAGATGTGCACTTGCAAGGAGAGAGAATGGCGGACAGAAATATGTGTTTCGCCAAGAAAGAAACCGTGTTCTGCAATGGACTTAGTTGTAGATTGGCTGCAGAACGTTACCTTACAGGCTGATCCGGTAATTTGGACGGAGGCGACGTCAGCATAACCCTGGTCGATGAGGGTGTCCGCAATTTCTACTATCTTCTGGCCTGCGAGGCCGTCGACAAATATTACGGTATTGGCCTTCAATTCGGCCGGCAACATCGACCTCCACAGTGGCTCTGGGGGCTCAGGCTTTGGGCTGCCTGGCGCTGGGGAGTCATCCATGCTACACAGGTAATACTAGTTACAATAGCAGTGCATATATGCTTCTAGGGTGGGGACGTGGTCACGACACTCAGAGCTTCAACACTTGCTTCTTACTCCTGGCGAGCTTTAGAAAATTCCCTTGGTGTGACGCAAATATCGTTAGAAGGGTAGGTCGACTGTATTTATACTCAATATGTACACAGAACTGTTTCGTCCTTTGTGGACTCAACGGCGCAACACAGAGAAAATTAAGCCGAACCCAGTAGCGATACAATTTTTTTACAAAGCCAGATTTAAACCAGGCCCGAACGTACCTTGCCAGAGTGCTCAAACTGACAAGTCAGTTAGCTCTGCAGAACGCACACAGCTTTGTCAAAAGTCCTCGATGCTAGACCGTGTCAAATGCCTTGGCCAAATCAAAGAAGCAAAATCCAGCAAGGGCTCTGTTATTCCTATGCTGGCACACCTGTTGCACGATGCCTGTCAGTTGAAGGGAGGTGGAGTTGCCCTCACGAAACCCAGATTGTACGGGACTCAGGATCGACAAACCATTTCTGTACAAGTGGTCATAAAAGATGCCTTCACATACTTTAGACACCCCGCGAAGAAGGGAGATAGGGAGGTAGTTAGCAGGTTCGTGGCGGGAACCTTTCTTGAAAATACATTAAAATTAATAAACTTCTACAACAACAAAATAGGCATGACTTTGCTGCTTTTCGTGATGAAGGGAATATGCCCGTGGTAAACGACGTGTTGATGATATGGCAGAAATGGAATGATCTGGGTGGCAGTAGGGCCTTGCGGACCTGGTTTGGGATGCTGTCGGGACCAGACCCCTGGTCTGTCGAGAGCTTCTTCAGCTGATGCCGGACAGTGGCATTGTGGTGATGACGGACATGAAACAAGCTGAGGGCTCTGAGGGGGTGAGAAGAGGGGGGAAAGAGAGCAACTGGTCATCTGGTGTAGTCACAGAGGCAAACTGGGCATTTAATTTAATGCTGTGGCTTTGGTCAAAGGGTCAGCCGCCTGCTGACTTGGCTGATTTTCGCGGTATGCTGTACCATGTATACAAAAGCTGATGAGCTGTATTCCACGTAGATTATGTGCATCTACTGGAAGGGGTGTGGATAATGGATGCGTACAGCCAGATGGAGACAGGTGGGGACAGGACGATGGAAGGAAAAAGCGGCACAATATCCCTTTTTAGAAACCACAATTTAGTAAAAATTTGGCAACAGACCGTGATGGCACATGAATAATTCTGATTTCTTCAACACACTCTTTCTTTTTGGCTGCCAACTGCGTAAGATCTTCAGCAAGAACAATGTTATAGTCAGCTATTCATGAATGCCGAAAATGTCAGAAATAGCCATTGTTTTATTCATTGCCAATTGTTACGGTGTTTATCCCCTGGATGTTTGTCAATAACGATGGTTGTTTAATCTTTTATCTCGTGCTTGTCCAGAGAGATACAATTGTGAGAAAGGTGAAAGCCTTTGGATTTTGAATGAACACACAGACTTGAAGATGAGCCTGGACATGGCAATAACTCATTGCTCAAAGGCAGGACTGTCACTCCCTAGCCATCCAGGCTGCATTTCATCCGCAGTTAGCTCTGGCAAGATTAACAATAGTGTTTGGCTTGTGACACCTGATTGGTTTGTAAAGTCAATTTTGAGTGACGTCAATAAAACCGAGGATGATGCATCACGTGATCAGTCACACAATGTGGTCTGTGTGGGTAGGTCAAAACATATCTATTTTGCCTAATTTGTCCAACAGTTTGTTTTCACTGAGTCACGCACACACACACACACACACACACGCACGCACGCACGCACGCACGCACGCACGCATGCACACACGCACGCATGCACGCACGCACGCACGCACACGTATGCACACACACACACACACACACACACACACACCTTGGACCTTGGACGCGCTGCCATATTCTGGCTATGCGATCCCCATGGGGGGTTGAGCAGGTTCGAAACAGTAGGGGCGATGACGGGATAGGTCCTGTGGTCTACTGAAACGCCGACCGCAATTTCAAACGATGCAGAAGGAGCTACGGTCTGTGTTGGTTGCTCTGCCCGAGCCACGGCTGCACTTGTGACGTTTCATGCCTTGGCGCGATAGCACACAGCGGTTGCAGCGGGCGCAGTGGAAGCTGCAGCGTTCGCAGGACATATTGTTTGTAACCGCTGACTCAAGTGTATCAGAAGATGCCTCTGCTGGTGATGTTGCTGGCGAGCACTTGTGTCGGGCAAATCCACCCTTGCTCCGGAACCATCTGTCGCACTGATCGCAGTGACAGCTTCCTGGCTGTTGGCTTTAAATTAACCCTTTCCATGCCATGGACGCGTATACGCGTTTTTTTAGTATGAGCCGATTGGCCATGGACGCGTTTACGCGTTCTGCCTACACTGTACAATGTACACTGTACAGTACATGTGTATCGCGCGCTATAGATGAGTGTACAAACTGTCGTAACTCTGTCGAAATATCTCGGACTGCTAGGGTTGAGACACCGCTGGAAAGGTCTTGAGCTCAGCTTTCCAGGGATATAAAGTTCTTCGCGATACGATAAGGGATGACCGAGCGGCGATAAATTGGACGGCCAGAATGCGCAAATTTCATTTTTTGGCGATCGATTCAAATTTTTGTTCGCGACTTCGTGCGGGCTAGGGGATTTCCCCTAGACACAGCGCGTGCGTAGTCAGATGCAACAAACGCGCTTGAATCTCAGCTTTCCAACGCAGTTTGAATCGTGAAAATCAGTTCACAATGAGCAAGAAGACGAAAGAAAACATGAGAGGCAGTCGTTTTGTTATTTTCAGGCATGGTAGGGGGACTTTGAGAGGAGATGGAAGTGGCCCTGGTATGCCTGTCGCGCTGTGAGTCCCTGAAATGGCTTCCTGTTGTCCAGATCTTTCCAACAAGCCATGGATCGTGAAAATCCATCAGGGTATAGTGAAATAGCAATAAATTTGTTCAGATGTGCGCGTGCAGCTTTGAACAGTTGAGCTCAGCACCTGAACAATGCGTGGCCAACACAGGAAAACAGGCTGGCATGGAAAGGGTTAAGGCTAGGGCACGCGTAGCTGTACACTTGTGTCGCGTCCTGTCACTTACACGACTGAAGGAGCGGTGACAAGTTTGGCACACAACCGGTGATGGTCGAGGTCTGTTCTGCTTGTCTGGCAGACAACGGTAAGCCTTGCGCCATTTGGAGCGAGAAGAGGTGGCCACTTCATACCAGTCGTCAAGTGGTTTGACGTCACTCCGGACACAGTCTCGCCACCTTTTCCGCGGACCATGGGCAGGTCTCTTGTTTGGAAACGAACCGAACAGTAGAGCCTTCGGGATGCGCTCATCCTCCATCCTTGCCACAAACTCACACACACACACACACACACACACACACACACACACACACACACACACACACACACACCAACACTACCACTACTACTACAACTACTGAGAACTTTGCCTTTATTTGAAAACAAACTGGATGTCGAAATTAAGAATTCGAAAAGCGAAAGCAAAGAAGGAAATAGTTTCCTCTGAGACAAGAATGCGATAATACTCATAAAAAGGACACACTTCAGGCTCTTTACAAACATCTGAAAAGTTTTTGGTTTCACAAGTATACTTTTAAGTAGTAGTAGTAGTAGTAGTAGTAGTAGCAGTAGTACTCCACAAACTCCACCTTGTTTAGGATGGAGCCACTCTCTGCAATGGGTTCAGCAGTCAGCCAGCTTGAAACCCCAGGGTCAGCAGCACATTCGTCAGGCGAAATAGCTCGTCATAGTAGATTTGAGATCAGCGGGAAGGAGATGACGACGTCCACTAATTCAGTATCTGTGCACACGAATCTGCTGTGTGTGTGTGACTCTGGGGTTCAGCTATGATATCATCCCCTGTGGTTCCATGCCTAGCATGTACGTCTGAACCATACCGCAAAGTTTGAATGACGTAGGTTGAGCGATCGCTCCGCGAAACATACTTTTTGAAATTCTCTTCATAGTATATCTTCCACCATTGAAATTTCGAATTTCTTGCTGAGAGGGGTGGCTTGCAACCTCGATATGGCTTGGTACAGGCATGCTTTGGAGCCATCCCCTGTTGAAGTAGTGGCAGGGATCTGCCCTGCAACTGCTACAACAAAAAAATGATTCGATCTGAGAAAGGGTGAGACCGCGAATCTCGGTCGAATATTGAGTATTTCAAGCCTTTTCACGACGAAGAGTTCTTTTTGGAGATGGACGTCGCGGCATAGGACATGGTGTCCGACTTCTGGCGTCTGGTGAAGCCAGAGGTCATTTGTCCAGTCAGGTCGGCAGCCTAACCGTCGGTAAGCTTGTGTTTGGATCCCGTTCGCTCGATGTGGTAGATCACAAACGATTTGATTTCGCACAAATTGATCTCAGCATCGTGCGTACGGTATTTTAAATTCAGAAAATCCCAAAGTGTCTCTGTGTGGCCGTTCTATGCCACGAGAAACTCCAATCAGGCTCCTATGTCCTCTGCCGACATGATTGAATGTCCACTTCGTTTGAACAACGAACACAACAATCGAGGACGGCTTTAAAATACAGCTATACTGGAGCTGAAAAAAGAAGAAAAAAGCATGCTCAAGATGAGACTCGAGTACACGCATACTCTCCGTGCAGGTGAAACGCAATTTTTTGTGAAAAATGCGTGTCGCCGACTGACCAGTAATTTCGCCTGACGCCACCAGCAACCTCTACTGATTGCACTGCCCCAATGACATGTCCGCCTGCAACTGACAATATGCAGTTATCAAGTCAGCCAGCAGGTTTACAAACTGCTTGCCTGCAGTACCTGACGGCACCATGAACAAGTTCCACTGCCACTCCACAACCTCCTTGTACGAGTCAAGCATCCAAGCGACCAGATCATCATGCCTGGCCCATATGGACTGCGGCAACTCTGGAACATCGATAGACTTGTCAGGAATTTGAACGACTTTCCAGTTGCGGCACATTTAACCGAACTAGTGGCAGTAGACGCAGAAGAGGAGGCATGAGACATGCCAGACCCACTGGCTCTTGTATTTTCTGTTGTATACACTGGGTGCCCATGTGATACTGGACAGTCCCCAGAATCAGCATCAGCAGACACCGGAAACTGCGCAGGAGAAATTCCAGATGCAGTAGACTCAAAAATACTCGAAACCTCTTCTGAGCGCCAAGAAATGGGCAAATCCACTCGCAGTGATGTCCTAGTCAGTTTATCGGACTCAACTGTCACCGCTGAGGCAGAGGCAGATCTCCGAGTTGCTATTGTGCGAGAGTGTGAGCCAGATGGCGGAGGAACGGAGCCCAACAAATCCCGGGAAACATGGGGCACCCAGCCAGGAGGTCGATAAGGTGGAGCGTCACACAACGATTCGGCCACACCCACTCCAACAACTGCGGTATGCTGATTCACGTTGCCAAAATTCGTACATTTATTATCTCTGCCAGGGTAACAGTGGCTGTCGCAGCGTCCATCCGAAGCACACAAACATGACTTGCAAGTGCCAGACGCTCTGCTGCAAGCGCAGCACGGGCGCCCGCTCGCAGCGCGTAACCGGGACATCCCATACACACAGCATGAGCACACTACAAGGACTTAGCCTTAGCCGGTGCGTCTAGTGAGTAGTGTCGACTCGACTCTTCCCATATCAAGTATGCATCCAGAGCGCCACTGCATAGTATGCCAACAATCAGGCAGTACTGGGCTAAACCGCAAAGTGTGCACAGCAAGTAGCAGTAGTAGTAGCAGCAGCAGCAGCAGCAGCAGCAGCAGCAGCAGCAGCAACAGCAGCAGCAACAGCAACAGCAGCAGCAGCAACAGCAGCAGCAGCAGCAGCAGCAGCAGCAGCAGCAGCAGTAGTGGTAGTAGTAGTAGTATCGACTTGTTTTGACAACTTGTTTTATTCAAAGCCCCACATTTTTAAGTGAATAATAGCAAGAAGGTTCAAGAGAGGAGCCAGAGAGAAAAGGGAAGCGTAGGAGGCGTCCAAGTAGACGTACGTTTTGCCGTATGGTTCGTGGCGACTTATCAGATGTGCAATTTGAAACTCGGGTATTGAGCCAATAATTGATGCAGAAAGGAAAAAAGGACTCATGGGAACGAGTAACTCTCCACCACTGTAACTAGACACTATATACATGCAGAAAGTGCAACAACTAGGCACAAAACTGACAGAGTACTGAGACATTCGACTTCCTGACACCTAGCTTCAACACAATCTCCGTAGCTGTGTGATATGTAAGAATATTCGTTCGAAGGCGATCGACCCACAACCATAGAAGACTGTATTATAATATAATTTATTACTACGACATTGTCACAATGTGGTGACAGGAAACACAACAACTGGACTCTCCAGTCAAAGGAAAAGAACCACGCCAAAACCGTTTGACTGCATCCAGAAAATAAAAAAGGATAAAAGACGCACAAATATGAATGCTCGAAAAGACGCAAACAATCACAATCCGGAGTGGAATAACTACAACTCGTCACATATCTGACAGTGGCGCTAACCGACAGCATTCCAACTCGGACGGTTCAAGGCTATGGAGAGACCAAAGACTGTCGGTTAGCGCTAAGGAGATGTGTTGAAGCAAGGTGTCAGGACATCGAATGTCTCAGTACTCTTTCAGTTTCTGTGCTTAGTTGTTGCACTTTCTCACTGTGTATACTAGAAGTATTCGACTAGTGCTCTGCAAAAACCGACCTTAGGTGCTATTTTGGCGAAATTGAGTTTGTGCTGGATTGTTGACCCATGACCCTTTCTTCAACTTCTGGTGAAGTTTGAGGTGGATTGCATACATATTCAGTTAGATACATTGACAATTTCTTTGCACTTTTCCTACAATTTTTTGAGAAAAAGTAGCAAAAATCCTGGATTTTATGCTACATTTTGGAGCCAATGCTGTGAGAATTCAAGCAGCATGATTGCAACCAAACTTTGCAGAATAAATCTGTATGTCATAATCTTCAAAAGGAAAGGTTTATGATGGCATTGGATCTTCTTGTTGTGAAGATAGACACATTCTATCTCTGTTCTGTGGATGGTGTTGCTCACGAACCTGCTGGAAGAGGTATTTGGCTCTGTATGATATGCCAGCCGGAATGATGGGTAGAGGCAGGTGCAAAGCAGAGAAGAAGCTCGGATCAATGCCGGGTTAAAGGATATTGATAGTTTTATCTGGTACTGACAGTAGAACGTCTAGTTATGTCTACATCTGCCGCACACATTGTTTCATAATCGGTGATATCATGGCAGTCTCGTTTCCAAATCTTGCCAAACGTACTGTATGCAGCTTTGCCACCAGGCTTTGTGAATGCCTGGTGAACAAGCTTCTTCATAGTGATACTGGGCAAATACATGTAGGTTGGTACTGGCTTGTTGTGCCCATGTGGATCTGCAGGTTAAGGGAGGCCATGAGCAATAGCATAATGCTCTATAAAATGCTTCAGCTCCACAACATCTTCCACAGGCAGTGCATTCCAGAGTTCATTCCATTCCTGTTGGGCTGATTTCACTTGCACTGACAGCAGCCTGCACAGATTTCAGCACCCAGGGCTTGATCCTGGGCTGGAGGCATACACAAAGACTTCCTGACATGCATGTACATGACTTCCACACCAGCCACTGACTGCAGTCTTCAGTAGTTCAGAGTAGTATTGTTGAGCCCCATCTATCACATCTCCCAGCATGCTGGACGCTCTGGGTAGCCTCACCACGTCTCCTGAGCACGTCTAGATTTCCGCCTACACACAAGCAGCGCTCTGACTTGGTCAGGCCGTGCACTGTGTGCGCTGTAAATGTAAAGCAAGGACATTAGGTTTCAAGTGTCATGCTCTTGAAACAGCACCAGTGCAGAACAACTACAGCCCTTGTCAAACTTGTCGCGCGCCTCCTGGATTGTAGACAGTACTTCAACCCATGTTTATTGGTCTGCACCCTGTTTATTGCCGGCATTGAGGGGCTGGGCTGGTGGCAAAACTGACGCCTGATCGAAATTTTCCTCCGCATGGCCGTCCAGCTCAATCAGCGTTGCGTCCTGCGATTCCACATTCGACTCTCCTCGGCACTGTTGTCATCAGAACTGCGACTGGAACAGGCCAAAAAATGACTATTCATCGTGAAAGAGTTCGGATGAAACCTCTGGGAGAAGACCACAGCAATTAATTGAGCTAGCGACCGGCTCCTGCTTCGTTCCGCCATGACTCTCACCTTGTGATCTTCAAAAATCGGCAGACCGTGACGTTTTGTTCTTTTTCTCGAAAAAATTACGAAGCACCTAAGGTCGGTTTTCGCAGAGCGCGGGTCATTTAGTTAGGGAGCATCTCATAAGTTCTCTTTTTTTCTAAACGTAACGCATTTCGAAACGGGAGTAGGGGGTAGCGCCCTTTTTGAATAGAAAAATGACAGTTCGCACATTTTCTGGATGTGTACAATACTGTGCTGTGCACATGGTGCATGTGCTAGACCGCTTCAGCAGCAGGGTGTGTTCATGGTGTTTATACAGTGGTGTAGATCTACCTACTAGTATGTTCGCAGATCAGCTAACCCTGCACTGAATGCAATCAATCATGCAGGCTGATCAGTAGTGTCAAATGTCACATCAGCATTATCAAACGGTGTACCTGGCCAGCTTTCACAGTACAATCTTTGTGGAGAAACTTTGTTTATGTGCGTGTACATGTCATGGGTTGTACTGGTACTCCGTAGATGCGGTACTACTGTATGCCATTCACTTCCACACTAGCAAAACATTCATGTACATGTCCATGTGCATACCATGGCATGCATGGACATGTACAGTAGTAGATCTACATGAACACGGAAAATGTGCGATAAGACTTTCAAATAGTGAGGGGAGGTAGGGGGGGGGGGGGGTAAAGTCTATTCGAAGTGCGTTACGTTTACAAAAAAAGTGCGAACTTATGAGATGCTCCCTTACAGTGGTGGACAGTTACTCTAAACTCGTATCCATATGTCCTTTTTCCTTTCTACTTCCTCCGCGTCATCGAAATTGTCGCAGTTTGACTAGAGACTTGTCACTTGTTACTAACAACTACATAAGCTAAGCTTTTTCAAAACTTATTACACAGTATGATAGTCTGAAGACTAGAGTAACGTTCCAGGACAGTTGGACTGAGAGTTTTCATGCAGAGATGAAGTCCTCGTCGTCGCTGATGTCAATGGATGCAAAAATATCGTTCCGAAATATTTCAAGGAAGGTTGAAAGTTGGTCGCGCCTCATCTCAAACGCTTTGACTTTCCCCACAGGACAAGAGCTGCTATGCTTGTCGTCTGCTAGCTCTGGATGATTTCTACTTCACAACCAACAAAGCCTAGTAAGAATACACGATCGTTGTGAGGTCGGTTGATTATAATTATTATTATTATTTATTCATACCCTCGGCGGAATCACCTCGCTTTTGAAATGACCTTTTTTTAGCCGTGGCATGCCCACAGCTCATGCAGGTAAGTGTACTATCACGTCCAGCGCGCCCTCTTTTTCAGCATCACTGGTATACCAGTACCATGGTACGGCACCTGCGCGTGCATCACTAGCACTACGTGTAGAGTCTACACGGCTCTTGCAGTTGCAGGTACAATCATATACTACATGTAGTACTGAGTGTCTCAGCCAGAGCGACAAATTGTATCGCTGTTGCATGCATTAAGTTTGCTGGCCCCTCGATGTTTCTTCAAGCGCTGCCACTTGTTCCACGAAGTCATTCTCACCCCAGCTAAGGTAAAACAGTGATGAGGCTTGAGTGAATGGCCATAAGCACGAGAAATGTGCAGGCTGCAATGCCTGACTGATCTCAGCGAGTCGAAATTACCATCGCAGCGACATCAGCGAAGAAATTGCGTCTAGTTCAAAAATTCCAGCTTTCAATAACAGAAAATAGAACTTTGCCGTCACCCTATACTGATGACTATTGCCTATGTCCGATTCCTTGCCTCTGGTACGAGTGCTGGAGAGTAAATACCCCGTTTTATATCAAAAGTCAAACTGCGACAATTTCGATGACGCGGAGGAAGTACATTAATTATTGGTTCAATACCCGAGTTTTATTTAATTAATGTTGTTTTTGTTTATTTGTTTTTTTCCTGTTGCTGATGGAGTCCGCAGCAAATATTTACTCTGCATCTCATGTATACTGTATCATATGATCTGCATTCAACATTGCTTCTTTCTAATTTCAGAGTTTGCTGCTTGTTCATCGGTCAAGTGCGAGCAGAACGCCTTCTGTAATTCGGCAGGAAAATGTGAATGTAGAATGCCTTACTATCACAATGGTACAGGTTGCTCTCGTAAGTAAAAGCAGTGATTGGGATTACTCAGAGCTATTTGCAGTTAGTCTTCTTAGGTTTGGGAACTCGTGGCCTGGCACGAGGGAAACATGGATGCAGTGAATGGGATTTCGGTCTTTGACCACTTTGTGGTGGGTCTGATCTACTCACCTCCCACCGTTTAGGAGCTGCATCTGCGCCTTGATCCAAGAGGGTGGTGGCGTTCCTGCGGATGCGGAAAACTGGGCCTTTGGCCGAGTCTCACGCGAACCGTGAAATTTTTTCTTTTCTTTTTTTTCTTAGGTTTATCCACCATTAGAAATTACAAACAAAGTCTAAAGTCAACTCGGAAATGTGTGTGAAATACTTTTTGATGCACCCTCATGCCTTCATGTGGGTTAAATTTTAGGGCTTACAGTTGCGTACATTCAACATCAGTGCCATTTTGTTCCACGAGGTGCTGGCGTGATCATTGAAAACCGTGTTTCAGCCAATCGCCGGGCTTTGGATTTTGAATCTTTTTTAATATTCTATCGATTCGTTCTAAAGATGGACTTACCGGAGAGCCTTGAAAGTTTCACGGAGGATTCCGTATTTTTTATTATTACACATTCCAGTGGATAAAGTTGGATCAGTGCCAATATCGATGAGGAGGGGACGTTTGCCAGCCATGGCGTAGAGAGAAAGTATAAGAAGTGTGGTGGTGCACCAATACAATGGTAAATAACAGAGGAAAGGGAGCAGTACAGCCGACGTGAGACAACCAAGACTAAACAGGTATATTGACTATTGAATGGGAATGTTGAAATGCTGCTTTGCAAGATTGCGAAATGAAATGAGGGAAGCGACTTTGCCTGGCGGACATGAAGGGGCAACGCCAGCCATTTAGTATAAGAGCTGAAAAAGGGAGAAGATACAAACAGAGATGTGGTAGCTCGGGTGAGACAGACTTTACTACGTGTGGGGGGAGTTCGAAACAAACCAATTAAGTTGCTGTATGTGCGGGGGAATATGCGAAGGTAACTTGCGTGCCCAAGACAGCACATTATAACATCTATATAACTCTGCAGAGGGGCACAGGTTGCAATTTTGTACAAGACCGAGTTTGAAATGTAGCGGCCAGTTCTAAATATCACTCGGAGGATACGGCGGTTGAGAATTTCCAGCCTCTCCAGTTGGGACTTCGTAATGGTAGACCAAGCAAGTTATCCATAAAGAAAGAGTGGAAGAATGTAAGATTTATAAGAAAACATACCCTACAACTGGTGGGTAAGTGAGAGAAATGGGACTTCATGATGCCTACAGCACGTGAAACACGGTACAAAAACGTGGTCAGTGTGGGCGGACCAAGATAGCGAAGAATCATATACAATGCCAAGATGCTTATGGCTACTTCCTCTGCGTCATCGAAATTGTCGCAGTTTGACTAGTGACTTGTCACTTGTTACTGACAACTCCATAAGCTCAGCCATTTATAACCTATGACACAGTATGATAGTCTGAAGACTAGAGTAACGTTCCAGGACAGTTGGACTGAGAGTTTTCATGCAGAGATGAAGTCCTCGTCGTCGCTGATGTCAATGGACGCAAAATATCGTTCCGAAATATTTCAAAGAAGGTTGAAAGTAGGTCGCGCCTCATCTCAAACGCTTTGACTTTCTCCACAGGACAGGAGCTGCTATGCTTGTCAACTGCTACCTCTGGATGATTTCTACTTCACCACCAACGAAGCCTAGTAAGAATACACGATCATTGCGAGGTCGGTTGATTATCGTCGGCGTAATCACCTCGATCTTGAAATGAACCTTTTTAGCCGTCGCATGCCGATTTATTTTAGCTGTGTGGTCACAGCTCATGCAGGTAAGTGTACTATCATGTTCAGTTCTCCCACTTTTTGAGCATCACTGGTATACCATGGTACGGCACTTGAGCGTGCATCACTAGCACTACGTGTAGAGTCCGCACGGCTCTTGCAGGTACAATCAAGTACTGAGTGTCTCAGCCAGAGCGACACATTTTATCGCTGTTGCAGGCATTTAGTTTGCTGCCACTTGTTCCACGAAGTCATTCTCACCCCAGCTAAGGTAAACCGTGATGAGGCTTGAGTGAGTGGCCATAAGCACGAGAAATGTGCAGGCTGCAAAGCCTGACTGATCTCAGCGAGTCGAAATTACCATCGCAGCGACATCAGCGAATAAATTGCGTCTAAAATGGCAATAAATTGCGTCTAAAATGGCAATTTTTTTTACTGAATACTACAGTACCATCAGATGCAGCACAGCGGGGGCAGTGGCATATTGGATGGAAGCGGGGGCGGGGCAAAAGTAACTCCTCCGACCAAAGGTCTCGGAATCATCGTTACTCCTGTGCGCCGATATATATGAGAAGAGAAACATGTGCATCGAAGAGGGAAGCACCGGCTTTGTAAACGATAATGGGGAGAATTTGAGATTGAGAAAACAATAGTAAAAGCAGTGCACCATAGGAAGATGGAGAGAACTGATAATCGGGTTTTAAGGCTGAGCGAAGGGGATCAAAGAGGGGTAGAAGGGAGCTGGAGTGCGGTCAGTATAATTAGGCTGGTGTGTTGGCAGAGATCATAGCCTGTCTGTGGCCCACTCCCACTTGCTGCGCCGCAAGTGGTCGTTGACGTGTGCATACCTCTACGAAAAGGGGTAGACTGCAGAATGGTAGGTGGGAGCTGATTCCACGTTGCGATGAGGGAGTGGGGAAATGAGCGGAGCGTGTTGTTTCGTGACTGAGGAGGAAGAATACTGGTGAGTTGCGATGGATGATGTGTTGCAGATCTGGTTGTCTCACGAGTAGACATGCGATATTGCGGTGCGGCTGCTGATGGTGGCAGAATGGCTTTCACCATTTCCGGACCCTCCACAAGGTGCAGCTTGTACACAAAGCAGAGCCCTGCTACGGTACGGCGAATGTCGAGGCTCGGAAGGTATGATCCATCTCCAATTATGTGCAGGGCACGGCGCTGGATGGCAGTGAGCCGGGCCAAGGTGGTGGGGGCTGCGCTCATCCACACCAGCATGCCATACTCTAACACAGGGCCGACAAAGCCACGGTACACGATTGCCCGGTGCTTTGGGTCTAGCACAGCCGATGCCTTACGGAGGAAGCCGAGCCGCTGGGCTCCGCGTACTGCAAGCTGTCGGATATGGCTGCGGAATGCCAGCTGCCTGTCGAAGGTGACGCCAAGAAGCTTGAGCTCCTCTACTTCTGGCACGACTGCTCCTTGGAAGCGTATTGCGTTCGGGGGGGGGGGGGGGGGTTGGCGAGCGGTGGTGGCTGATGGTCAATGCCTGCGACTTTGTGGGCTCGAACTTGATCCTCCACCTGCTTCCCCATGCTGCAAATGAGTCTACTGCCTGCTGGAGGATTGCTGTCTCTTCTGGCAGTCTGAGTCGGGTGGTGATGCACTTGTAGAGAGTTGTGTCGTCGGCATATACAGCCAGCTTTGCCCCATCATGCAGGTGGTCTTCTGCGTCGTTGACGTACAGAAGCAAGAGTGTGGGGCCGAGGATACTGCCCTGCGGTACGCCAGATTGGATTTGGTGGGTCGGTGAAGACTGGCCACCTATGACGACACGGATGTGGCGGTCTGTCAGGTAACTCCGGAGCCAGGCAAGGAGGGGCCACTTATGCCACACCGCTCAGCCTTGTGGAGGAAGCCGTTGTGCGAGACCTTGTCGAAGGCCCTGGCAATATCTACTGCGAGTACCCTGACGAGGCCTCCACTGGCAGCTGCAAGGCTCCACTCATGCTGAAGAGCAATCAGCAGATCAGAGGCTCCCAGTCCAGTGCGAAAGCCAAACTGCCTGTGAGAAAGGATGTCATTCTTCTTCAGGAAGTTGTACAGGCTGCGGTTCACGATGGACTCCATACACTTAGACATTATGGGCAGTAGTGATATCGGTCGGTAGTTTCTGGGGTTCGACTTGGGACCTTTCTTGTGTACTGGTACGACGTTGGCAACTTTCCACATGGCAGGTTGATGACCACTGCAGAAGCACAGGGTAAACAGCTTGGATAGGGGCAGGACCAGAGAGTCAGCACATTTTCTCAGCACTCTAGCGGGTACTGCATCAGGCCCTGTGGCTTTACTTGGATTCAGGGCTCGGAGTGTCCGGCGCACGGTGGCTTGGCGGAAGTGGACTGTTGCAAGCGTATTTGCGGTGCGCTGGCGGACATGCGGGAACGGGCCCGACTGTTCTGCAAAGTCATCGTCTAGGCTGCACTTCTGGGCAAAGTACTTCCCGATGACGTTAGCCTTGTCGTGGCTTTTGGTGCATTCCATGCCATCGGGGTCAACCAGGACTGGGATGGAGCTGTCCCGGCCATGCCCTCCAACTCATTTAATCACGCTCCAACACTCTCTGTCTTGCAGGCTGCCCGTCCAGAGCCGTTGCTTGACATGGTCGAGATGTCTGGCTTTGGCTCTTGCTAGACATCTTGTTGAGTCAAGGCATGCTAGCTTGTATGTACACTGGAGCGCTCCATTTCTGGGGTTATCGCGGAATTTCCGCCAGGCATTGCGCTTTCTGTCAACTGCTGCAGAGCATTCTGGCGTCCACCAGATTGGGTCCTGCGGTCTGGTCTTGAAGACCTTGGATGGTATAAAGCGTTGCATTGCCTCAGTGATTCACATGGTCAGAAGCTCACATGATATGTTAAGGTCGTCGCCGATTATTGTGTCCCAGTCAGTAGTCCGTAGGAAGGCAGAGAGGCGGGGCCAGTCAGCCCGCTGGTATCGCCATACTGTACGAGTGGTGGGTTGGTCTACAGATGCAGTAAGCTGGAAGTCGGCTATTACAACAGCATGGTCTGATCTGCCAAGAGGTGGTTGGGTGGTGGTAGACACAGTTCCAGGCACATCTGACATGACGAGGTCAAGGATGTTTTCTCCACGAGTGGCTGAGGTGACGTGTTGTCGGAGACCATGTACACAGCACATGTCTTCTGCAGCTTCTCCAGCAGCCGAGGTGCGTGGACTTCCAAGCCCT